CTATTTTTTTCTACTTTTTTCTATCAGTCGTGTCCATTTGATGAATATGTGGCTGGTGCTGGGTTCTCGTCGGGATCAGTACCATCATCTGCTTTTTCTCCTTTACCTGGCGTCGTTCCATTATTGCCTGTATTCGTTGGCATTACAGTAGCCATCTGTGTTGTTGATGGTTGTTGTGGTGCTACTGGACCACCGGTTGTTGCTGCCAAATTAAGACCAGCAGTTGCTGTTGCTGCCGTTGCTGATGATGCTGCATTAGCTGCTTTTTGTTTTAGCATAGTCCAATCAAATGTATAATCGTATTGGTGGTTTAATGTACGAAATAGAATACGAAATAATTGACGTAAATACATATAATCAGGTGCTTCTTCAAAACGAAGACCGCGACAATAATTTAAATACATAGCAAATTCAGCTGGAAATCCCTTTTGTTTTTTTAAAAAAAAAAAAAGAATAAGAATAAAATACAATATTTTTTGTTTTTCATTTTAATTTTTTTTACTTTGCAAAGAATTTCAACAGGTGTTGACATTTTTTTTTCTGATATTTTTTCATATTTTTGTTTTTTTGTTGCTGCTTTAAGACCTTGCCATGGTAATGAACCACGATTAAAATACATTAAAACATAACCTAACGATTCCATATCATCACGACGACTAGAATAGAATAGAATAGAATAGAATAAAATTATATGAAATAAATTCTTTTCTTTAATTTAACCTTTGCTCAATACCAAGATGAGCATTAATGGAAGCATAACGTGCTGTGCCTGTTAAATTTTTGTCTTCTCGATAGGGAATGTGTTGACGAGTTCGATTGTCACGATATTTTTTAGCTAAGCCAAAATCAATTAAAAATACCTAGACAAAAACAAATTCTATCTAAAATTTATTCATAATGAACTAACTTTGTTACAATGACGACCAATGCCCATTAGAAAATTATCGGGTTTAATACTAAATGATAACACAAAAAACAAAGATTAATACAATTAGTACAAAAAAAAAAAATTACTCTCGATGGATAAAATTTTTATTATGCACAAATTCGATACGACCAATCATCTTAAGAAATATGATTTTGTTTTTTTATTAAATCAAAATTTCATTGAAATATATTATTGTCAAACCTGATCGGCAAGCATGAGAACAGTTTTCATAGTAAATCTTCGTGAACAAAAATTAAAGAGATCTTCAAGTGATGGTCCAAGTAAATCCATAACAAGAACATTATAATCTTTTTCTTGTGCGTAATATCGTATATGTGGAATACCAATTCCACCTTGTAAAATTTTATACAATTTTGATTCATATAATAATTGTGGATGTCGTGCTTTAACTGATTCAAGTTTAATAGCAACTTCTTCACCATTTGTTATATTGATACCCAAATAAATATCACCAAATGATCCTGAACCTATTTTACGTACTAATCGATATTTTCCACCGATTAAAAATTCAGATTTTGATGACATATGTAAAGATGAGCCTGGACCTGATGTTAAATCCATTGTTACACGAACTTGTTTTTTTTCTCTTTTTTTTATCTGATTTTATTTGATGGTAATAGAGAAAAGGATCTACAAACAAAAAAAAAGATATAATGACAAAGTAATTGTCAATAAAGATGAGTATGACCATGAGAGGGATTTTGATATATATACATGCACAGCCTGATGATTACGCCATGTCTCCGGTCGATGTCCTTACAGAAGAATAAAATAATTAGTTGAGTAAATTTTAGACATCTATGCAGATTGATTGAGTTTTCATGTTCAATAGAGACATCTAGTGAAGTAAATATTCTGTATTATTATTCGATACACATGTTTTCTATTGCATTGACTCTTCTGAGAGTCTTTTTCTAAGATATGAAAATTTCTTTCTTTTGCATCATTATTGCTTATTTTATTTATAAAAAAAAAGCAGAAAATTATGTCGCTGGACTGAAAAAAATCTTTTATAAAAGCAAATAAAGTTAATGATTTGTTTTTTTTTGTAATTTTAATCATTTTCTAAAGCTGTTCGAACAGCTTCATGAAATTCATCTGGATTATCAATCATCATTTGATGACCAGCATGAGGTATAATAAGAAGTCGAGCTGAATTTGAACCATTTATTCGTCTATTCAATGATATGACGGTTCTTCGACCAGCTCTAGTCAAACATAAAATCAATTAAAAATAAATAAATTATATAAATTAATATTAAAACTTACTCTGTATCCATCCAATCATGATCACCATAGAAAAATGTAACACGTGAAACATCACTATCTTTTAAACGATTTTCTAAAGGATTATATGCAAAAACATTTGATTTAAGAACACGAGGCAAAGCAAATTCACCACTGCCTGGTTGTGCACATAAATGATACTAAACAAATAGATCAATTTATTTTTTAAAAATTGAACTTAATATTACAATATAACATACCAGATATTGAGCTACATCATTTTTAGGTAATTTCAATGTTCCTTTATCAATTTGATCAGCAAGAGCTACTGATGTTTCAAGACCTGCTTCACTAGCTGTTGATGGTGTATCTTCAGCGGCTGGGCCAACTAAAAAACGTCGTGTTACATATGCAGTTACAGGTCGTGGACCTATTGGACCAATCAGTCGAACAATTGATTGAGGTGTATAACCACGATTCCACAAAAATATAACAAAATTACGCATAAGACGCCATCCAAGTGAAAGACGATGACGACGAGGTGGTTCAGGTGTTTCAGGCTCTTTTGGTACACCAACAGGTGAAGCTAATATCAAATGTGAAACACGAGATGGATTTGACATAGCATATGACGCCCCAATATAGGCACCAAATGAATGTCCTATAATAAATTTATCGACAAAAAACAAAAAAAAAGAAATTTTAACATTCGCATATTCTATACATATAAAAAAAGTAATGTACCAAGTAAAATCATTTTGTCAAGATTAAGTTGAATTCTCCATCGTTCAAGAGCGTCAACAAAAAAATGTTCAGCATCATCTGATGTTTTTGCTCGAAAATATGGTCGTGATGATCGTCCACAACCAAGTAAATCAATTGCATAAACATGTTCATGTCGTTCAGCTAATGCATCAAAATTAAGTAACCAAAAACCAATTCCAGCACCAAAACCATGTAAAAGTACTAATGGTGATCTTGTATTTGATTGTCGTGC